TTACTTTATTATAGTCAGTTACAGAACAGAATATGATCTCTTTGTATCTTCCAATGTTATAATTTACAAAGAAATCAATTTCTATTGAAGTTAGGATTCCGGTTATTGAGCAAAAATATGTTTTTAAAAAATTCAATTGGTTCTGCCCCTTTTGAAGGGAGGTGGGGAGTTCTTATTGTGCTGTTAAAGATCCTTCCAGAAGACATTTTCTGCTTCAAAAATCAAGGACTTCCCTGCAAATGGCAGGCAGTGGACAGCACATTATCCTCAAACTGGTGAATAGGATGGATTTTTCTCCCTAAACTTCCCTTCTGCTCTCTAGTTTGAATTATCAATAAAATGACTTTGCTTATCTCTGAAAATAACCTTGTTGACAACACAAATATGGACTTAAACACGATTCCTCCACATTTAAGATTTAAGAAACCCCAGTAAATGTCAGGGGGTGTCAATGTGTTAGCTGTGATACTTGGTTATTATTAGTGTTTAACTGCAATTCCCCACCAGCGCCACGCTGCCAGCACCACCATAAATTTTAATGTGATCATGTGCTCTTCTCTTTTCATATCCAGTGAATTCTGCAAGATCATAATATTCTATATGAACCCTAGCTGAACCTTAGTGTGATATGAAGAAAGAACAAGATTTCTAGCAGAGATAGTTGTTCATCATCTTACAGTTGCTTTTTTTTTTTTCAACTGGACCCTGTGCAACCTGGTTCCACGAATAATATTACCCTAAACTAAATCCACTCATTCAATGAATCTTTATTGAGCCCTACAGCATGGAGGGTATGGCCCAAAGTGCTAATGAGTACATTTATGGGATAGTAAAGAATACTGACTCTTAAGGAAACCTTTTTTTCCCCCTGGAAAAATCTGTCAGAGCTCATACATCATTTATAAAACCGAAAAATGTCTCTGCAACCTTGGCCCCTCTCCCTGCCTTTTATTTTGCAGAATACAAACAAAAGCATGGTCGTTTCCTTTATTAGATCTACATTGTGAATATAGGAAATGTGTTTGTTATCTCTCATTATGTATGTACTTGACAGAGTATTTATTCTACAAGCTTCCATAAGTAAAGAGAATTTGTATAATTAGTCTCGAGCTGCAGGTTTTTCCCTTGTTTTAACCACAGTAGTAACTAATCTAATATACTGTGTTTATTCAGTAAATTCAAAATATTTGGTAAGTTTTAACTACCTAAAGATGTCTTTAGAAGCAAAGAGTAGTGAAGCTTTCATTTAAAAAAAAAAAATGGAGTTTCAGGCCAGAAGCATGGAATAAATTAGTAAGTCATTAACAGGGTTTCTAGTGAACTAAATTTCCGCCATTTTATATTAAATTGCCTAGCCTACAAAGCAGTTCATTTTTTTTAAAATTATTATTTGTAGAGAAACAAAACTGCTTTGTTACCTAGACTTGTGGTTGGACAATTCTGCATATATAATTCCTGGTCAATAAACTTATTTTCTGTGTTGGACATGATTTTATAGTTAAAGGTTAGGAAGCTGATATGTATATAATTTGCTGTCCTGTTACACGGGTGTCATAATTTGCTCAGCAGTGACACAGAACTATGCCTCTTTCCATTCCCAGAGACAATGGACTTAGAAAAACACAAACCCACAGATGTAAGGTCACACAGAGGGTGCTGTATTATTCATGGAACAGCTCAGTGGGCAAAGAGGTAAAGATCGCTGGGCCATCCTGATAAAGGGGCTCTTTCTGACTTTGTTGATGTCCTTTTTTTAAAAACATTTATAAATTTTTACGTCGTTATTTTTTTTTTACAATGTTTGATTTCTCCTCTCAGGTGTTGTCCCCATAAAATTACCACCACCAAGACACCCTTGAACGACGCCTTTCTCAAGAAAAGAATGTGGGGGTGTGTGCCTCAGTATCTCCTGTCCTAGAAGAAAAACACTTCAGGGAAGGTCGCTTTTGGTTTTCTGCCTTTCCTGGCAACTGGCTGGTAAACTTTGCCTTGGAGCGCCATCTAGAGGAAAATTCAGCACACATGTGCGGCCATGCTTTCTGGGCTTTGTGACTCAGGCTGAATCTAGGGGTTGGTAGACAGTGTTTTTATTTTTCAGATTAATAGAGAATTTTATTTTTCAGATTAATAGAGAATTTCTCTCTCAATATACAGAGATGGAATATGAGATCCCTGGAATGAAAATATAATCACTGATGAGAAAAAAGTAGTGAAAGACCCTTCCAGCTTTCAGGAGTGCCTGAAGCATTAGTACCATTCATGGAAATAAGGAGATTATCATTTTGCTATAGGCAGAGGGAGTATTCCAGAAATTAGAATTGAAGAGAAATTAATTTTTTCTTCACTGATCAAGCAATCTTTTTTTTCTCTATAATTATTTCTTTTAATTATTTATTTATGCATACATACAAGAGCTGGAGTGTAGGCCAGAGGTGTGGGGGGTGAGAAAATTCACCAGAGACAAGAGTGGGGAGCAGAACAGGTGGGTCTACTGAAATACACTGCTGAGGGGAGCAGCGAGTGAGATAGGAGAAGTCTGCTGCCCCATGTGGGTTAGTTCCCAGGTTGGGGATCGAAATCATGCCTCAGTAGCTGGCAATAGTTTGATAGTGTCCTTGTGCCACCAGGGAGGCCCCTCTCTATAATTATTTCTTAGTTTAAACATTCTGATTAAATAGATTGTCCAGGGTCAAATTGGAGAACAGACTGCCTATGTAAGGGACCAACAAAAGTTGACATTTTCAACCTATTGGAACACTTAGTCAAGTTCAGCAAAACTTAATGGGCAAATAGTAATTTCTTTTCCAGATGTGGCTACTCAATTCAATGCAAGGAAGAAAAACAATCACTAATATATTCTTTCCGAAGAAATGTTTGTATTTCACAATCCCTTGCCTCCCCCCACCCACCCACCCAAAGAGGATTTTAATGGCGAACTCTCTCCTCTTTTTGCACTGGCATTAACACAAAAACAAAACCCATACCTTCTCTAGCAGTGACACTCTTTAAGGTTGCTGAGCAGTTGCAAAAATAACCACTGTATCAGAACCCCATTGTGGTGACACAGTTTGGGAGTTCTGCTGTCTTTATTTTCTTGAAAAGGATCGAGATTGTCTGAACTATGGAAACATTTATTGAAGAAAACTAGGAATGTATTTTCTTGACCCCTAAGTGTCCATCCCAAACCCAATGCTCTTGTTGGTTCCCCTACCCCAACTATTTTAAGGTCTGTCATGAAAGTCTGTCTCTGTCTTTGAAAGCTCTAATCCATAAATCATGGTCATTCCCTTCTCCTTTCTTGGGCAAGATTCCTGCTTCCCTGTTTTAGTAATTCACTATAAATCCATAGGTTTTCCAAAACAATAGGTTAGTAATTTGTTTATTTAATGTCCTCTTTGAGTCAGACACAGGGACTCTGTACTCAGAAAATTATTTCTTATCTCCTGAGATCTGATAAGGAAAAGCAAAATGAAAGTGATTATTTTCAAGCAGTGTTGGCACTTGAATAATCAAGTGTTATAACTCAAAGCATCTTCCTTCCTCACTTGACTGGCTGGCTGCTTTCATGGGGTATGTTACAAGCTGGCCATATCAGCCGGCTTGCTCCCTAAGGGGCTGGGGACACAAACAGCCAGCTCCCAAGTCTAATAGAGAAGACACTTCGGTTCCATCTCCTTATGCTACGTGCACCTTTAAGTGCAGGCCAAGCCAGCAAACATTTGTTGAGAACCTACCACGTGGATGATAGAGGGCAAGCTGCTGGTGAGGCCCCCCCAGTAAGGAGATGTTGAGCAAATCAGTGAATGTTGCTGAAAGATAAGAGATAATCTCTTCAGCCTTGAGCTGCTTGCTTTATAGGAGCATCAGAGATCTGTGACTTAAAATACACAGCAGAGAGAAAGACGTGTTGGCCAGACACAGTGCAGAGAAAGAAGTAATTATTGATGCTTGGGGAGAAGGGGGGGAAACTGCAGAAAAACTGGCATTAGATCAGTGCCTTAAAGGATAAGTAATATTTTAATAGGCAGAGAAAGGGAAAGAGCATTTCAAAGGAGCAAAAAAGTCTTTGTTCATTTGGACTGAAATATGTCATTTGAAGTCAGCTATTTGGGTTTAAATTTCAATCTGGGTGCAAAGATGTAAAGTATTTAGATTTATATTATGAAAGTCCAACACTTGTGGTTTTTTATATGGTAAATATGTTTATACACATACACATGTGTGTATATGTGTGTACATATTTATGTATATATAACCATCAGGCCAAAGAAACCAGCATATTTTAATCAGAAAACATTTTACTTCATGATAGTTTAACAAGATAAGTGGAAATAAGGCCAAAACAAGCCATATTTCTTGACAGCAAATGGAGATGAATAGAGGATTTTGTTTCAGTCTTTGTCACAATCATTTGTGTTTAGATTAAATTCCAAGGTTTACCACTGGCTGCTGGCCCCTGGTCTTGCTATCTCCATAAACCAAACTGGCCACCTGTCCTGGGTGCAGAGAGGTTAAACCTAGTGTACCCCTAATCCCTGGGAGCATTTACTCCTTCCCTTGGCCTCCAGGGGCATTCTCCCTGGGATCATGGCCTGAGGATTTCTGTGTTCCTATGGATAATGTTCACAGGTCCCTACTGTGGCTTTCCTAGTCAGTCTTACCCAGTGACCTCTTTGTTCTGTTTCCGCATATCCTCTGCAAAAGGATTACATTGAGAATCCACATATTTCTTTTCTAAAAAAAAAACTGTTTCCCAAGATAAAACATTGAAAAGAGTTTCAAGCTGTCATTCCAAGGCTTCCGCTACTTCAAAATGCCAGTGATTTTACAGCTTTAAAGCTGAGAAATGGTTGTGAAATATATACTCCCATAAGCAGGGCAGGTAAGTTTCAACATAAAGTAAATCACGTAAAAATTTGTCAGAAAAATGGAAATGTGAAGGAGAAAGCCTGGAGGGCCACAAGAGTGACAGATGAACTTCCACCGCCACTGACACTTACGGTCAGCATCGCAAACATCAGCTGGCACACGTTGAAGGCGTGTCTCCAGTTGTGGTACAGCACCATCCGGTAGTTTTTCCTCACTGTCAAAAGCCACCGACACAGTGTCTGAAACGGGAAGGGAAAGGTGGTGCGTCAGGCGGTGGGAGTGTGTCCAATGGGCCATTCTCAAAAACAGGCCTTAGTTTAAGTCTCCCTCAGTGACCAGCGTCCTTCCCCCGACCTCTCATGTGACTCTTGCTATATCCCCCAGGTGTGCAGGGATGATCTCCCCCTGGCTTGCATTTGGGAAACCTGAAGCTCAGCATGGCCCCCACATTGTCCCAGGTGCCTTCGTGGGGTCACACACGACAGAATACCTCACCTCATAGTCAATTTTAAATTTCTGTACCATCCCCAGCTCCATGAACATCCGAAGAGCAGCCGTGATCATGGCATCAACGTCCAGAGAAAAGTCATCAAAATGTATGTTATCGATGGCAAGTTCTGACACCAGAGGGATGGTGGCTGCCTATAGAAGCAGAAGACGTAAGTCAAGCCAAGTTCACCAGCTCTCCTCCTGCTTATCAGACGTGCCACATAAATCAGACCTGACCTGCACTTAAACTCTGATACAGCTAAACTCTGAGCTGGAAATGTCTTTTGTTTCTGAACTGCAAATGCCCCAAGCAAATGAAGGGGGGTGGGGGGAATGGGGAGGGAAGCTAATCTGAAGAAAAAATATACACACTAGATCTAGTCTGCAGAATTTAGAATACAAAGATGTCTAGTTGACTGAAACCGCAGTCATACAATATATTCTGATGCACATTACAAAGCACTAAATGCAAGAAACATCTGGCAGCCAGCAGCTGTGAATTTTAATTGCTGCTATTCAGGAGAAGGACATGGGGATACACCATTTTGCCTTGTTCTGGTATCCTTATATCCTGTAGCTGTGCACATGCTCTTTGTTACGCAAGTGTTCTGTGTATTCAGAAGGATGGAAAGGATCAGACAGCACATTTCTGGTGCAAAATATGTTTTTCCTAATAAAACAGAGATGTTTGGAGGGTTAGCATAAGCATATGTTTCAGTGAAGGAATGAATTTGCAGCACTGTTTAGCTTCATTCTATATAAACATGACGATGTAATCACAATACACTTCATACATATTCAGGGTTTTCCAAACACTCATGCTAGGCAGCTCTCAATCAGTTGCTCCACACAAACTTAAAGGGAAGAAAAACTCATTAGAAATCTGGTTTCACTGGGTTTACTATATTCTTTGGACCACGCTTGGTGAGGGGATCATCTTTATGCTTTCAGAGACTGTTCTGTATTCCTATTCCTAATCTATTTTCAGGCTGTAAATTACCCAAGGGGTAATTTATACATGGGGACTACTTTGAGCAATTAAATCCACTCTGATCACTTTAAGCAATCCTGAAACCATATAATGAATCCTCCCCAACTCCATGCTTCCCACAACCATATACATCTCTCAGTTAAAATCTGATCTGATCACTGCTTATTCCTCACAACATGGAAAAAAAATTGAACAAATACATAAATTACAGGACAGTTTACCTTTTATTCTTAAGATTATTTTCACTAAAAAGTTAATCAGCTTATCCTTCAGTAAATCATTCTGATATATTAACATGTTTGAAGAACCTAGTTCCTTGAAATTAAAAGAGTAAGGCTTGTGAAATTCAAACATGGTGGTGTAAGTGGTCTTGGGCCTATATGTTCCTGGCCTCATGCTAAGTAAGCACTTTCTTAATTTTTTTTTTACTTAAATAATATTTAAAAATCAGTTATACACACATATAGCAGCATGTATAGTTTTAAGAGTAAATTAGGTCTGCAAGGCTAGTTATACACAAATGGATGCCCACACACATACACACACAGAACTCTTCTGGTACCAGTACTTTCCCTCACCCCGAGGCAACCACTTTCAAATCATCTAGGTAATTTCATTTTGTGTTTGGCAAAGTAAGATACTTATAATTTTATATCTTGATTATTTTGTCTTAAGCATTATCTAACTTGCCTTACACTGTATCTGTCACCCTCTGCTGCCTCACACACTAACAATCCTCACTCACCGAAATGAAAATATATTAATTTTGCTCAGAGACATTCAGGGACTACATTATCATGAAGATAGAGAAAAGATATTCATAGCTAAGACACAATTTACTATGATTACATTTCCTTCCCTTGACAGCATTTTGTATTGCGAGCTAATAATTGTCTTTAATGGGTGATTATTTTTCCATGTACTTATTATTAATACAACCTGAATCTCTCCACCAATTAGCTACACTCATCTGAAAATGTCCAGATGCTTTGGGTATTCCATCAATTTCATGGAAATTTTCTCAACTTCCGGAATCTGGAATGGGAATCTGGAAAGTTCATCCTAGAGGTTCCTTCACCGTAATTCTGGGGTGCCTTCACCTCTCTTTTGCCTACATAGCCACACATTTTTCTCTTTTCTGGTTCCTCTTCTCATGATGGCAAGATACATCCTCCAATAGCATCCCAAGAACAGGTATGTGGTAGACAATCTGTGACTCTGCCTGTCTGAAACATCTTCAAATCATTGTCACATTTGAGTGAGAGCTGAGCTACAGTTTTCTAGCTTGGAAATCATTCCATTAAATTGTGAAGGCAAACGTTTGAGAAATTCTTCTGAGTATTTATCATTTGAAGACAAATCCCCCTCCTCTCCAGCTTTTGTAGAATCCTTTTGCTTCCACAGTTCTGAAATGCTATGGAAATGTACCTAGATGTGAATTTGTTTGCATTCATAAAGTACTATGTGAGCCCTTTAACTTGGCAAATCATGTCCTTTAATTCCAGAAAAAAATTAAAATATACTTTCCAATGGTTTATTTCACTCTTATTTTTCTGGAATTCCCTTTATTTGATCTTTGGAGTGGTTTTCCTTTTATTTCCCTCCTATATTTCATTTATTTTTCTTTTTGATTTATTTTCTAGAGAATATCTTCTCATTTTTAAGACATTAGTGTCATAGTTTTCATTTCTGAGAGTTTTTCTTTAGTTTTATGGTATTCCTTTTAATTTTTTTAATAGTATCTTAATTTTATTTCCTGGATGTTATATCTTCCCTAAGGATGTTAATGATAATCCTGCTCCCTTTATAGTTTACTTAGCTTCCTTCACTTTATTATAGTCACACCTTCTCTCTCTCTCTTTCTAGTAATACAAATTTATCCTCTTAATATTCAGGTATACAATACAGTATTGTTAATTATATATACCCTGCTATACCATAGCTATCTAGAAAGTTTTCCTATTTTATGACTGAGATTCCCTACCCTGTGAACAGCAACCACCTATTTCCTGTTCCTCCCAGGTCCTGGCCACCAGGACTTTCTGTGTTTAGGTGTTTGACTACTATAGATGGTGCCTACAAGCAGAATCATGTAGTGTTTGTCTTTCTGTGATTAGTTTACTTCAGTTGGCATCTTGTGTCTCAAAGGTTGATGCATATCATATGACAATATTCCTTCTTTTTTTAAAGACTGAATAATATTCCATAGTATATGTATGCCATATTTTCTTTGTTTATCCATTGATAGTTTAGTCTCTTAATAAGCTTTTTCTTCAATGACTCGTTTTAATATATTAGAGACTTTGGAGGATTAGAGGTTTTCCTAGCTGTAGGGTGATCTTCTGAATGGAAAATCTTCTGCGTGGAGCCTGATGGGGAAGGGACTGGAGGAGGAACCTCATAAGTAGTCACTATTCATTTTTCAGCCTCAAGCTCTGTTCCATGTCTGAGGATAAGCTTCCAGTCTTTACAGAGTAGAGAGGTGAGACAAAAGGTCTGGAGGGCTAACTGCTTCTTAGATTTTCCACTTTCCTGTTTATAACCCCATCTATACCCCCACTTCAAAGGTACGAATAATAAGCCAGTAGATGAGCTATTTGAGGGGAGGAGTCTGTGGTATAAATGTGTTTGTTTCTCAGCTATTCCCATGGATGTCTTAGTTTGCCTCCTTGGGAGTGATAAATTACTTAATACTCATTCATTTGGTTTTCTAGCTTTCAAATTTATGGCTTAAAAATATCTATTGTTGCTTTAGTGTGGCTTGGGAAGGAACAAAAGAAATAAAGGTGTTAGTCTACCACTGTTATCCAAAAACATAATAGAGATGATCTTTATTAAATCATGCTTTCTATGGCCAGAGGTAAGCCAGCTTTGAGTCTTTTGCCCCTTTGTGTCTGTGTCTAGGCAAACCTCTTTCTCTTTTCATGCCCTTGTGTGCTTTGTGTTTCTGCTGACTTTAGGGTAAATAGAAGTTACCAGGTTTCTCTGCCCTCCCACCATTAGCATTTATGATCCACACCTGTGGTCTTATTTGCATGCCTGATGGCCGGCACTGGAGTGTGGTGTGGGCGTGCGTAAGTGGCCACACCTGAGCTGAGAGACTGAGCCTATAAGGCTCAGAGGATGGCGGGGGAGCTAGAGGATAGTGTGGTGGAGAAGCGGTCAAGCGCATTGGAGAGTACAGAAATTTGCAGGGCCGGGGGTGGGGGGGGGCCCAAGTTGCTGTCTTAACTGGCTTGTTTCCCCTAACCTGTGGGGATGATGCCAAGGGCTCCAAGTTTCTTTTTCAAGCTGCCTGAACCGACGATGAACCTACCCAGCCTGGGATGGTTGCAGAACAAATGGTGTTGATGGCAGGAGGTTCAATGCAGACGGTATGGAGCCCTTTGAAACCTGGGGAGGGATTGCGGGGTGGCCAACCATGGGCAGATGGTACTCGGTGGCCATCTCCCAGTGGGCACCTCCCCAGGAATGGCCAGGAGCAGATGGATCCTTGTTGTGGCTGGAAGGGGCCCTGTGCAGAATAGAAGAGACCTTGGAAATAGTGCCTGCGAGGCGGCAGGAGCATGGCTCAGTGAGAGTCTAGGCAGAACGATGCAGGGTCCCGCAGCTGCAGGATGAGACGTGGGAACTGCGACAACGTTTGAGGATTCTGGAGGAACAGATCTGGAGAAACCAACCCACCACTCCGGAGAGACCAGATTCCTCTGGATTGGAGGAGGAGGCTGGCCCAGTGCTCTGCGCTCACCTGGTGGTAACTCAGAAAATGAAGCAACCGCGGCCCCCAGCCCCAGGGGTCAGGCTGCTGGACCACCACAAATGATGGAATTTACTATGTAGCAACCATACACCCAGGAGGAACTGGTGGACTTGGGCAAACAGTTCTGTCAGAAACCAGAAGAACCTTCATAGCCTGGGTGCTGCATTTGTGGAACTTGGGGGTGGATGGGCTTATTTGCACAGCACAAGAGATAGAGACTGGCCACAGTGACCTTGCATCCATTGTTGAGACTGAGGCTGCAGAACAGCTGGCGATGTGGACAGGGTGATCACACCCTGTTGGACTGGATAATGGGTGCTGTACAGACAGTATAGGCTGATGCAGAAGATGTGCCAGAGACTGAGCAGATGGCAGACGTATGCCGAGCTGGTGCAGGTACTT